GCCAAGTGAGAAACTCATTTGACTGGTGCTGGAAGTTTCCCGGGTCGGGAAAATGGGTGGTGGAAGACATTTGGGGGGTTGATGGAGGAGAGATTGTGTGAATAGTGTCGACCTAAGAAAAAGGAAATTCGGCACCCCACACCCACTACTGTGTTAAGGACGGCTCAGGAGTGAAAGGAGTGGGAAGGATAGCAGTTTGACAGCCGAACAAAGAGAAGAAGATGCAGCTGCTGGGACAGCTAGCCAGGTGGTGAAAGAAAAGGGGAGGATGTGGGAGGGTGAGAGATTGACGGGGGGAAGTTGAGGGGATCAGGCGGTGCTCCTCCGGTAGTAAGTAAAGTAAACTAATTAGTAGTAATTAGTTGGCAGGCAAACGGGCGTATGGAAAGTATGGTACAGTAACTGGTGTTCCAGCAAAATGACAGTCGGATAAACGCTGCGGCGGACCAAATCGGGCCAATCGATAACACGCCTGATAACCTTCCGAACCAGCACCGAATTTGCCCCTCCGCGACTGGCTCTTGTCCGCAGTCTCGAAATTTTGACCAGCCTGTAACCACCCCTTCTGAGATATTGGTCCCTCCTTTTTTTCGTCATTGAGCCGGATTACCCCCCAGATACCCCCTGCCCATCATGATCTCCATCGGTCTGGAGAGCTCCGCCAACAAATTGGGCGTGGGCATCATGGTGCATCCCGACGATGGCAAGCCCCCGCAGGTGCTGGCCAATGTTCGGCACACCTATGTCACCCCTCCCGGTGAAGGATTTCTCCCCAAGGACACCGCCCGTCATCACCGCGCCTGGGTTGTGAAGCTGGTCAAGAAGGCTCTTCGCGAAGCTCAGGTCTCCCCGAAGGATGTGGATTGCATTTGCTTCACTAAGGGCCCCGGCATGGGTGCCCCTCTTCAGAGCGCCGCCATCGCGGCCCGCATGTTGAGTCTACTCTGGGGCAAGGAATTGGTGGGCGTGAATCACTGTGTTGGACGTATGTGTTATGCCTAGTACTTCACTGCTCTATCTATCTATCAGTCCCCGATCCTATCTGCACCGTGCGGGGAAACCCTTTGGCCCGTGTCATCCCTTGCTTAGCTTGACCTCCCTATTGCAACCATCGCTAACCATGCCTCGGCTGTATATATAGATATCGAAATGGGTCGATTGATTACCGGTGCACAAAATCCCGTCGTCCTCTATGTCTCCGGAGGAAACACCCAAGTCATCGCATACAGCTCCCAACGGTACCGCATCTTTGGCGAAACCTTGGATATTGCAGTAGGAAACTGCTTAGACCGCTTTGCGCGCACGCTGCGCATATCCAACGACCCCGCCCCCGGATATAACATCGAACAATTAGCCAAGAAGGGTAGGAAACTGGTCGATCTACCGTACACAGTCAAGGGAATGGACATTTCCATGTCCGGTATTTTGGCGGCCATTGATGGACTGGCCGTGCAGTATGGCTTGGACGGAGATTGGAATGACGATGAGGATGTCGCTAACAATGCGTCTACATCGGACGATCTGGAGAACGCGAAACCGACGCGCGCAGATCTATGCTTCTCGCTCCAAGAAACGGTTTACTCCATGTTGGTTGAGATCACAGAGCGCGCCATGGCACATGTCGGTTCCAAGGATGTCCTGATCGTCGGTGGAGTGGGCTGTAATGAGCGTCTGCAGGAAATGATGGGCATCATGGCTCGCGACCGCGGTGGTACCATTCATGCGACCGACGAGAGGTTCTGTATTGATAACGGTATCATGATCGCGCAGGCCGGATTACTGGCATATAAGTCCGGTAGCACAACAGCCTTGAAGGATTCCACTTGTACTCAGCGCTTCCGGACAGACGATGTCTTTGTCAAATGGAGAGATTGATTTCTATTTCTTGTTCCATTGGATGATGATGATTTAGATGAATGAGATGAATATAATCTATAGAGTCATGAGCAAAGGTCTCCGATAGTACGGGATTCGGCACCCGGAGTGCATCCGTGCATCCAGACGAACTGGAGCAAGGGCTGGTATTGATTGAAGCCCGCTTGATCGCATTCTTTCTACCGAGTAACGATTGGCGCAGTTTGACTCAGTTGCCACGGACACAGATGACAGGTTGGGATTGAAAAATATCAAGTCGGTCATGACTAGTTGTCCCTCCAACGGGTGGAAGCAAGCGTTAAGGGCGTACATCAAACACTCCTGGCTGACTGAAAGCAGCAACGCCTATGTAAAACAGCCGCGCATTTCAGCTGCAAGCAAGGTTAACAACAGGGGCTTAGCTATCGAAGAATTGTCGCTAGCCATGCATCGTTCCGAACACCAACAACAACAATGGTCTAATAGTGGCGCTTTCTGCACCGCAAATGGTCGGACATCGAGCAACCATAGGGACGTGAATCATACAAAGTGACTTGAGCTTGGGTTCCGGCTATGTGCAACTCTGCAAGGTCGAAAGATATACCCAAAGGAGATATCTGTTGTTATTTCTCCTGGTTCTGCAAGGGCCTTCGGTGTCTTATCCTCCATCCAATGCCTTATCCTCCAGTTCGATGCGCAAATAGCATACGGTCGACATGCGGGATGCTCGGCCCCGCTCAGGCAGCCAAAGTAATACAGTCCCCTTTTGGCTAGAGAAAAGGCACGAGGGACGCACAGAGCACCTTATCTCATCGACAGGCTAACCTGTAATATCATCTGTTGGCTTATACAATATCGTTGTGACGTACTGCATACCGTTAATTCCGTGGTTACGTGACAAAGAGGTGCCATCTTACCTTCCGTTTGTATCTGGTCGTTACACTGGTGGCAAGCACACCATTTTTTATACTGCTAGTGGCGAGATGGTTTAGGACGGTGTGGTTAGGGTAGTTAAGAACACTGCTATCGTCCTTCATGGGTGTGGTGCCGTTCAGGATTGATTTGCCAAGGAACAGCGGAAGGCTCGGCGGTGTAGGCGCATCCCCAACGATATTCACAGCTTGCTGGTACTCGGGTGTTTCTTCCTCACGATCTAGATCAAGCAGAAATTGTGGGATAACACCACGGAAGTCACCCAACGGGATTTCCTCGGGCTCTTCTCTGTCTGACTGTTCCTCCACGGTGGACCCCACTTGATCATTCCCGACCGGTCCAGGAATGACCTGCGGAGGTCGAACGCCATCAGGGACCTTATCGCTTTCTCTCCGTGACCGGTTGACGTCATCAGCACTAATTTCAATGTAGTTGACGAGGTGGTTTGTGAAATCGACTGCTGTGGGAAGATTGTCTGAAGCGCGCATTTCACCATCGACAATAAATTTCAAATGGTGCGTGCCCGGACGGAGGTTCAATCTCGTGGACAAGACGCCGGGGTTGTTCTCACTGTTTATGCAGGGTTCCAGTTTAGTCTGATAACGTACAACAGCCCAGATAACGAGCAATGCGACTGGACATATGGGACAGCGAACGCGACAACATGACATACCTCCGATGTAAACGGAATTTCTTCTCCCAGTTCACAAACGTTCCCGTAACGTAGACCTTATCACCAGGAGCAGTCCACTCTATGAGGGTCGGCACAGCCCTTCCCACGCCGCTCGGAGTATAGGGTTGAAGTTCATCCAATGCCTCATCGTCATCGACCGTGGCGCCAGCTACGGCAGATTGTTTCGAATCGCGGTGTTCATCCAGCAGATGGTCGGGTGCAACCGATCCCATATACGAGTCCTCCGGACCAATGATGGGCGAACCGGGGGTGGCCGTGGCATCTCCAATGGGCAGGGGCATCCGCGGTGGGCGCTGAAGATGAACAGAGGCACTGTAATAGGCATGGGGAGGGGGGCCAGAGGGTGCCACAGGGTCACGTTTTGCAGCCGCCCGGGATCCCGGAACTTGGACGGGGTTGGACGGATCAGGCGCAGGAATGTCTCTGGAGCGAGTATCTGGCTTCTTTGGAACCTGACGGTCTGGCCGATCTAGGTTCCGCGTCGGCAGGTCTGTGACATTGCGGGATTGTAAACGCTGCTGGACGGATGGTTGAACTTGGGAGGTCGGAAGGCCGGTTGCAGTTTCTCTGGTGGCGGAGGGGTCGGCTGCGGAGGCCTTGGTGGTGCCCGATGGCGTATGAATCGATGACCGGCGAGCTACTTTCTTGTCCCCCGCCGCGGCCGAGGGAGCCGACGGCGATTGGGCATCTCCGGCAGGGGGTTTGGAAGGATTGTTGCCCATCTGGAATAGGGAGCCGGTGGGAGGCGCTTGTAGGAAGGAAAGGAAACTGAGTCAGGCAGGTTCGATGCCGTGTCGAAGACAAGAGAGACGAGTTGTGAGTTCCGTGATCAAGGTTGGGATGCCAGCATCAGATGGTGTCGGGGTTTGGAAGGCGGAGGGGTAACGGAAAATAAAGAGGGAATCGGGGCGAAGGGAAAATATCGGGTGGACAAAGGCCTTCGGATGCAGATGGGGTCTAGGAAATATGCTGACGGGAATAGGAAAGGCGCCGGCTCAAGGATGGGGTGGAAAGAGGTATATAAACAGAGCAGCGGGCGAGGATCGAAGAGAAAGAATGCGATGGGCAGCCAAGTAAGAGTTGATGATGTCGATGTCGTCGACCCCGGACGGGCTAGTCCCATGGAGAAGTTCCCCTTAGGGTTTAGGGCTTCCCTCCTTGGTTTTCCCCGACGGTCGGTCGGCTGTCATCTCCGATGGTGACTTGGTATGTCAACTGTAGTATACTGCATCGTCTTCGAGGGAATAAGCGAGATATATTCACCGTTTTTGCTAATAATCTTAGCACATTTGAAAAATTCGGGCAGTCCCATGGATGAAAGAAGAATGTTGATTACCCCATAAAAAAAATGCTAGGAGCACATACTTATAACGATAACAATCGATGAACCAAAACAAGGCATTCAACCATACCATTTCTGCCACCGCAGACCGCTTACCGGACAGGCAGCGCCATCATCCATCCAAGCATTTAAATGTTTACTCTATATTTACTATCTACTACTGTATCCCTTCCCATTGCCCAGCAAGGCCGTGTCATAAATTGCCTCAGCTGACGCACAAGGAATGCTCTATGTAACCAAGTAACCAACCAGCTGCTTCTGGAACACTTTTAGCCACGCGAATGGCTTGGGTTACCGCCTTGACAGCGAGCTTCGGTGCCGTGCTCTATGCTCTGGCTTACCTGGCTTCCTGGTTCTATGGGCTGTTCAGTGTACTAGCCTCGCCAATGTGGATCCTAGCCCATGCCATCCTCTATGTGCTCCTTTTTCCACTAAGGCTTCTAATCAAATTTGAGGTACGAATGGATAGATTCTCCATCCTTTTCTAGCAAGTACTGGTCGCAATGCAAGGAATAAACACTTATGGTTCACCTAGGCCATTCTTAGCTACTTCACAGTAGCCGCATTAATGGGGGTTATCCTGGGAATATCAATTCATTATGCGTCGTCGGTTACTGTGGAGGCGATTCATCAATGGTTTGGTTCACTGAATGACCCAGCTCGCCCTAGGCGGAATAGTTATCATGGACGTCTACTTGATAAAGTCAAAAGAGGGACTTCTCCGAGCGATTCCAACGCGACCGACGAGAATATGCCGGAGTGATAGACCGACGCGAGGGATAGGCTCAAACCGATGAGAATCTGGCATCGTCTACACGATCCTCAAAGGGGAAGAAGCAGCAGCCGGGCCGAGGAATGACGGGATGCTTTAAACTAGATCATGAGCATAGTGGGCATGTCAGCGGAAAAGTGTAGTGATTACGTCTGTACTATATATTTTAGCATTAGCATGTGTTAGCTTATTTCGCAGTAGACTATTACTCCTATGAGGGGTTCGACCGAATGCATGACAGATACTACTACTTACTAGCGGAGGCAGACGGATCCTCACTGGCGGATGGGGCTGGTAATCTCCGGGTTAATTGACGCAATCAATCCGCGACAGTCTGGATGGACCCTGCCGCTCATCCAATTCCCCACTGCAATTATACTTCCATGAGACTCAAAAGACAAGAAGACTCTCCCTCATCTTATCTTAATAAACTACTAGGATGGCCCCCAATTTCCACTATTTTAGTAGTAGTAGTATTACTACTATGGACAGTTGCTTGTTAGTATTTACCCTAGACATTGATCATCTATTCAATTATTTTGCTTTTTTTTCTTTTTTCTTTCCCCGTCTCTTCTCACCGCAATACGAATTACTGAAGGGAAAAAATAAAAAGTATAAATATCAACTTAAGCATTACACCGCAGTCCATTCTAACCATGGTCCACTCAGTAACACCGATGTCATCACTCCTGATTGTTTGTTTCAACTTGACATGAATCATACCCCTGCGACTATTACTTTCACTCTATAACTCAGGACAAACTACCTTTTGAAAGTGGATTGCTTATCACCGAATATCGTGCTGTGGGTCTCTCGAACCATCAATCAACAAGAACAACCCCTCGGTCTCGAACGGACCATCCTGCAATCTGTCCAGGGTTCGCTTCGCTTGTTCATCTCCGTGATTTATTCATTCCTTCCTCGCAAAATCCCCCGACACTCTTCTTTCCTATCCTTTGATTCTATTTTCAAAGGTACTCTGCTCCTCTTTCTTCGACACGCATGTCTTCTCCATTCATCGGCCTCGTTACATTTCCTCTCGAGCCTTGCTGACGCCTCCGCCGACACCTCCAATGCCTTTTCCCCCTGCGCTAGCGGTGTCTTCTTCGATATAACGACTACGTCAGACTCCGTGCTATACTTTGCGATCATAACGAGACCACGACACCATTGACATTCCTGTCGCAACATTCCAAACACAATGTTTCCCTCTCGAGCGTTCTTACGAGTGCGCTCCCTATTACTTGCGATATTTATCCTCTTAACATTCGCTTGGTCCTATTCACGATGGCGCAGCTATCCTCTGACCGAGCAAGCCCCATCCATACAAACACACCAAGCGACCCCCTCGAACCACAGACATACCGAAGGCCACATCCAATTCTGGCGTCAATTTCAGCCACTTCTGACCGCCCATGAGCCCAAATGCGAGCCACCTCTGAGATTAGGATCGGCGCCGTCAATTAGGTTCGAACAATCGAACCCAGAAGACCGCCCGGAGCTGCTGGACATGCTCCCATTCGACGTGGATACGATGAAAAATGCGCACAGCGGATTTGTCGATGCGATCAATACCAACCCGCCCCAGCTAAACTATACACAGAATACGCGAGGCTTGGTTTCCACCGCGGGGGGCTCCTACTTACCCGTGCTGGTGATCTCGCTTCGAATGCTTCGCAGAACGGGTTCAAAATTACCCGTCGAAGTTTTCCTCGCAAACGAAGAAGAATATGAGGACCATATCTGCGAAGTGGTCCTGCCATCGCTGAACGCGCGATGTGTGCTTCTGTCGGAAATTCTCGACGCTGTCCCAGGCGATATGAAGGTCGAGAAATACCAGTTCAAGCTTCTCGCAATGCTGTTTTCGTCGTTCGAAGAAATCCTCTTCCTAGACGCCGATGCGTTCCCGATTCACCCACCGGAAATGCTATTCGTCAATGGCCCCTTTCCCTCGAAGAACATGGTCACTTGGCCCGATTTCTGGGCATCAACCGTCTCTTCCTACTACTACGAGATCGCCTCTCAGCCGTACCCCGAGAACTCAGTCCGACAGTCCAGCGAATCCGGAGAGGTCCTTATCTCGAAGAAGACGCACATGAAAACCCTTCTTCTCAGCACCTACTATAACATGTGGGGTCCCGATTTCTATTACCCACTGCTTTCGCAAGGCGCAGCCGGAGAAGGCGATAAAGAAACCTTCGTTGCAGCCGCCATAACCCTCCAAGAACCATACTACCAAGTCTCGGAGCCGATTTGCGCCATCGGCCACGGCACACAGGGCGGTCTCGCCGGCTCCGCGATGGTGCAGTTTGATCCCATTGAAGACTACGCTCTGACGCAGAAAGGCGAATGGCGAGTCCATGGATCGAAGGCGCCCGCTCCCCGAGCATTCTTCATCCACGCCAACTTCCCCAAGTTCAACCCGGCCACTGTGTTCGACAAACAGGCCGTGAACCCAGCTTTCGCGGATGACGGGAGCTACACGCGCGCATGGACAATACCCGACGAGGTGATCAAGGCGTTTGGCACTGATATCGAGAAGCGCTTCTGGGATGAGATTCTGTGGACGGCGTGCGAACTTGAGGATAAATTCAGTACTTGGAAGGATAAGAAGGGCATCTGCAAGGGGGTGAAGAACTATTGGAATGCTATGTTCGGTATCGGGCATTCTCGTTGAGTTAGGGTCGGTCGGTTTCCCGAAACTTTCAGCCTTACTGGTGCTGGTCGCTCCGTGAGATGTATAGGGAGTATATCTATCATCACCTACCGATGTGCACGATCCCCACGAGACAATATATTCGGGGTATCTGAGTTGGTGTCCGGGTTACTATCAGAATGGAGCAACAGCACAACGAGACACGCAGTGACGAAAAGACGCTTCAGCTCATATTACAGCAATAGGAGCGACACATCTACGCCCATGTCTCATCAAGGAGACACGAACCACTGCAAGACACTTTGGACCAGCCTTGGATACCCTCTATAAATACAGCGACTGGCAATCTCAGGATCTCATCCTGGAGAACATCTACATATTCACAAATACCTCTTCACGCCATGTCATGCCATACCACCAGCTTTTGCTACTTATTTTCATGTACCATATACCAATACCCATACACTACTATAAATACAACCCATTGATGTAAATCTCTATACATACAATCTAAGCTAATGATACAAAAACCAGGAGAAGAGAATAATACACCCCACCCCTCCACACAGTCCCCCTAAAAATACACTCACTCCCTCTCAATCGTCCCCGCAACCCGCGCCTTCCTAACCGCCTCCCTAAACATCTCCTTACACGGCACTCTAGATCCCAACCTCGCGCACAACAAAAACGCACCACTCAACTTCCGGTGTAGACTATACGTTTCCTCAGGAGGCGGAGTCAACCTCTCCCGAATCATAAGGGGAATCAACCCCCTCACGCGATCCGTAATAGTCTGATTTCTAAAATCATACACATCGGGCGACGACTCCATGAACGGCTCCGCGATAGTAATAACAGAAGTAACGTGCGCATCGACCATCTCCTGACTCTCATGGCCGGTAAGATACCCTAATTCGCGGGACAACTCCGCACAGCGCTGACGATCGTTCCTCGCTGCCGCGATCAGAGTATGTACATACTTGGTGATGAATTCGTCGGGGTATTCGCGGGAGGCGCCGAAATCGAGTAATTCGAGCTTGTTCGTCTGGGCGTTGTAGAGGAAGTTCGTCCAGTTGGGGTCCGTCTGCATGTACTTGAATTCGGTGATTTCGCGAAGACAGAGACGGAGGATTTGGGTGCCGATCCAGTCGCGTTGGGATTGGGTGAAATTTTGGATTTTGGTGACGGCGATGCCGTTGAGGCGTTCCATTGTAAGGACTTGTTTGCCGGAGGCTTCGGGGATGATGGCGGGGATGTGGAAGACGGGGTCGTCGGCCAGGAGGGAGCGGAAGTGCTCGCCGCAGGTGGCTTCGCGGTGGTAGTCGCATTCCCAGGCGAGTTCGGTGCGGGCGTTGGCGATGGTTTTGTCGAGGTAGAGGCCGCGTGGGAGGAGGCGGGAGGCGGTTAGGAGGATGGAGAGGTTGTTGAGGTCGGAATCGATCGAGTCGGCGACGCCTGGGTATTGGATTTTGACGGCGACGGGTTGGCCAGTGGAGGCGAGGACGGCGCCGTGCACTTGGCCGATGGAGGCAGCTGCCATGGGGATTTCGTCGAAGGAGGAGAACAGGTCGCGCCAGCTGGGACCGAGGTTGTCGGTTAGGACTTTGTCGCGTTGTGAGGCGGGCATGTAGTCTGCGCGGTCTTGGACTCGTTGGAGGACCTCGTGGATGGAGTCGGGGAGCATTTTGGTGTCTGGTGTGGTGTAAGAGAGGAGTTGGTTAATGGGGTAGATGGTGTGTACCTTGGATGCTCAGCATCTGCCCCAACTTGAGGGCCGCTCCGCGCATCTTGGAGAGTTTGGCGACGAGACGTTCCATGTTTCCGGCGCTGAACATGAGGGATCCGGTGCTTTCGGACTGGCTTCCAGTGGCTCGTCGTAGGCTTTCACTGACGGCGCCAAAGGCCATGGATGTGGCTAGGCCACCGTATTGCCATAGTCTGCCTAGTCGGGAAGCTGGAACGCGAGACTCGATCATCTGGTATGTTGCCTGCTGCTTCATGGCTGCGGCAGTCTCAGGTTCCACCTGCGGGCACTTTATTAGATATAAAAGTCCGATTGGCTGCGACTGCTTGCACTCACTGTTGTTGTTGACACAATGTCCTCCACGGCCTGAGCCTCTTCTTTCGACAATCCCTCCTTCCCAATGGGTTTGGCGTCAGGTGGAGGCATCGGAGTCTTTCCTTTGTATTTTAGATCCGCAGCAGCTTGCCGAGACAGCATCCTAGCCACCTTGGGGCTGTGGAATATTTCCTTCATCATATCCTCCGAAATCTCCTCCTGTTGTTCCGTAGGCTGGGTTGACGACGCAGGTTTCTCGGCACCGACGGGAGAGTGGAATACGTCCGCATTTATCTCAGTGTTGATGCCTGTTTGCGTGTCGCTGGAGGTCTTGGGTATTTTAACCCTAGGAAGTCCAGACGAGCCGGGGGTCGTCTGTTTGGAGGGTTCATAGAAGACATCTTGCTGCTGGCTAAC